TCCATTTAATTAAACACGTAATAAGGAGATTTGGGGAAAACATCATGGAGAATCAGATGATAAAAACTATCAGGAGTGAACTTTCAGCTTTTAAACTACAAAAACATCACCAATTGCAAGGAGCTCTTTCTCAAAAAAAGCAGGACAATATCCTTTGGAATGACCAAAACCAAAATCTGACCTGTTGGTGGGGTGTGGATATTTGTGGCAGTAGTTTCAACCTAATATTAACAATCAGCGTCTTAAATCTGTTTTGCCATCCACTGAAGACTGCTGAAGAATAATTGATCTGTATAAATAACACTAAAGGTTAAACTTACATTCTCTTGATAAAATATACTCCAAAAAGAAGCTGATCCCACTTCAACAATAACAAGTTAAATTTATAAGGCATTTCTAAAATAAGGAAGAGTCTCAAGCCACTTCACAGGAGCACTACAAAATGAAGTATGACATTGAGCTACATAAGGTGAAATTAGTAAAGTGACGTAGAAAAGCAGCAAAGTGTAGAGAAGGAATTCCAAAGCTTGGGGCCTTAGCATATGAAGGCACTGGGCATCAGTGGTGGAACCATTGTTATTGGAAATGTACAAGATACCAGAGTTAACTACTTGCATCTGTATAAGCACCTCCAACATATAATGCCCTGATTACACCATGTAAAAAGAGGAGCTATTAAGAAAGGACAAAGAATTAAGTTTTAAGGAGGATTCTAGAAGTAGAATGGAAAGATTTATGGAGGAAATTTCAGAGCTTAGAGCCTAGGTAGCTGAAATCACAGCCAGCAGTGGCAGAGTACTGGAGGAGGACTTTATCTCTGCACAGAGATACTTTAGTATCTGGCCATTAAAAAATATGGGTGTTCTACTTTATAACTAACTGTACAAGTGAGCTAATGACCACAGGCGCAGTAAAAGGAAAATCTTCCAAGTGCATTAACAGTAATTAAAGGTATATTGTACTTAGACCTTACTCTTAAATCACTTGAACTCAACTTCGACCTTCTGTACAAACAAATATATAATACACTACACAATGCAAGCAATCACCTCAGATTTCAATTAAAATAACTGAGCATTAAAAATTGGCTGAGATACAAAAATGAGTGCTCTGCACCTTGCCTGTCCCAGTTTCCAATTTTTCGATTCTTACAAGAGGAGATCAGCAATTGATTTTTTTTGCACCTCTGACAATAATTGACATTTCAAAAATAGAAAAGATTTAGTGATAACATGCCAGCTGCTGGCAATGCTTGACATGTCAGATTTCAGCATGAAACCTGGTTTGATAGATAGTTTTATTTTTACAGTTGGTTACTGTGGCGGTCAGTCACCGAATATATTGACAGAAGAGTGATAAAATTTATTATACACAAACGGCAACAAGAAAAGCTATATAAGAGACAATTTGAAAAGATCTTACCATAAACTGCAACAATAAAAAATTGACTCTTTTTCCAGTAAGATCACTTACCATCAGTGAACTATCACTCCAATCTTTACTCTTTAATTTCTTACTCAATTCTCGAGGTCACAAACATTTTCTTTAGGTAACTTTTAGAATATTCGCTAGATATGATTCTCTCCATCTCCCGCAGAGACACAGGTTAATTCACTGATGCTTCTCACCAAACTTTTACTTTAACTACTTTTAGGTTGCTAGATAGTAGGATCACTGGTGTGGATCTTCTATTTTGAGCTGAACCTGCTTTTGTCATCTTGTTTCTCTTTGTCTGTGTCATAAAAGCTCCACTTAGTAAACACTTCAGCAATTACCAGGTAGTTTGTCTAATCATTTAGCATAAGTCACATGATTTCTGGGAAATATTGTTGACTCACTGCTAAAAGAAATCAGTTTTTCGCCCTTAGGAAATAACAAGTCTCCTTCACAGAAGTGAAAACCAAAAACCACTAACTTCTACTTTAGAACTCAAGTTCTCAAACAATATATCAGAAACCTTCATCACAGCAGCTACAGAATATCGGATATACCACCTTCCTGATGTTATATACTGATTTAGTTAAGCAACTGTGAACAAATAGGTTTCTTCATCTGCCTGTATGGAGTCAGACAAACAATCTCTCCTAGGAATTAACAAACTAATCAAGACTGAAGATATCATTTACAAATTTCATTCCAGATCCTCTAAATGCAACCATGCATCTAGCATTTCTCTAGTGCTCTTTCAATCCACTGTGAGCATTGCCATGCAAGTCTATATTTATGGAGCATATCTCAAACATCTTTGGCAACCACCTCAGTTCATGCAAGTAAGCTAAGGACTGCATTGAAGCTAAAGATATGTGCAACAATGTTTACAGTATTTAATTTTGTATAAAGAGGGTCACTCAGGTTCTCTAATCAGTCAGAGCAATCAGTGGGAAGAAGAATAAGAGAGGAGGTAGCCTAGCCATTTCCCTTCCATGCAGCTTTCTATGAATAACTAATGTGAATGTAATATCACCGGCCACAACCCCAACTGCACATTTTTCACCCCATCTCGAAAGCATCAGCTTGATTACAAAACAAAAATTAAAGGCATAATAAAATAACATTTCAAAGTAAATTTGAGATAAATCATGGTACGCTGCATACAAAGATCACTATGTCACCCGTACTATCTGCCCGCTTAACATAGTGCTTCTACCGACAGCCATCCCAGTAGCTGTAGCACAACTGGTGAAATGCAGGCGACTTTTAGTCAAGAAGACTGCAATGACATGGAAGGACCACCTCTAAGAGCTCTGAGCCCACAAAAGTGGCTAGTGATTGTACCATTCTGCATAGACTGACTGATTTGACAGGCAACAGTCAGGGAACTGGGGGACAGGCAGAGGTGGAATGATGGATCAGAGATAGTAGGAACTGCAGATGCTGGAGAATCCGAGACAACAAGGTGCAGGGCTGGATGAACACAGCAGGCCAAGCAGCATCATAGGAGCAGAGAGGCTGACGTTTCGGGCCTAGACCCTTCATCAGAAAAGGAATGATGGATATTGTCTTCCCAAGAGATGAAGGAATATAGTTTATATTTGCCAAATTCATTGATGATATGATATGAAGATAGGTAACAAAAGCAAATGATAAAGAAGACATAAAGGGACTGCAAAGGGATATGGATTGGTTAAGTGAAGGACAAAGGTTGGGTAAGTGCAGCATAACGTGGGAAAATGAGAGGCTGTCCATTTTGGTGGGAAGATTCTAACATAGCTTTAACTCTAATGGAGCTCTAACTCTAAAGTACCTCTGACCCTTATGCAGTTCTGTCCCTAACAGAGGTCTGTCCTCCGTCAGTCCTCATCCTAAAGTGTCTTTGACTCGAAGGCACCCTAACAATGCTCTAACTCTTATACAGCTATGAAATGGAGGTGCCAGTGTTGGACTGGGGTGGACAAAGTCAGAACACCAGGTTATAGTCCAATAGCTTCATTTGAAATCACAAGCTTTCGGAGTGCTGCTCCTTCATCAGGTGAATTCTTTGGCTTTCACCTAATAAAGGAGCAGCACTCCAAAAGCTTGCGATTTCAAATGAACCTATTGGACTATAATCTGGTGTTTTACACAGCTGCCTGCTGTTTAAACATAATGCAAGCCCCAGTATGGCTATCAAGAGATACAGGATCTTTAAAATTGGAGCTGGGCTTCCCACTGCTGTGTGGACCAGTAGCATGTCTGTATCCAGGAGTTTGCCACCAGACAATTGGGTTCAGCTGACTGCCATCAGTCTACATCAGATTCATAAGAACATAAGAAATAAGAGCAGGAGTAGGCCATTTGGCCCCTCGAGCCTACTCTGCCATTCAAAAAGATTGTGGCTGACCTTTTCATGGACTCAGCTCCACTTACTCGCCTGCTCACCATAACCCTTAATTCCTTCACTGTGCAAAAATCTCTGTCTCTTTGCTTTAAAAACATTCAACAAGCAATTCCTTACAACTTCTGAGCCCAGTGGTGGGTGCAGTGACAGTAATTATAAATACTGCAACCTCTCAACGAGTTCTGAGAGTTAAGTGATGAAGGTAAAAAGAATATGCAAGCATTTAAACAGATGATATTATGAAAAAATATTTGTCGTGGTGGATAGAAATTTTACTGATTATATGATAAAGTTGAACTGAGACAAAATCTAACATTGAGTTGTAAGTGGAGTTAAAGAGCAGTTGCGTTCGTACAGGAATTCTGTGCTCAAGAGTTGTGACAGTATTCCTGAAAACTGCAACATTAAATGAAACAACTTTAAGTAAAGCATAGTATCTCATAGGAATAAACATGAAAACTAAAGTTCCTACTGACATGCTTTGCTCGAAAAAAACATATGGGTTGAAACACTGTACCATAAGTGTGCAATACTGTGTGCTTCTAACTAAAGTAACTTACAGAATAATCACTAAATATAAAAGAAACAATGTACAGATAATTACTTCAAGACCTTTCTCAGCAAAAAGCAACTTTAAAATATTAAGTTATAGAGTCATAGTCATACAGCAAAGAAACAGGCCCTTCAATTTGAAATGACATACACTCATAAAAGCATATACTCATAAAGTGACAAATAAAATAAATTTTAAAATATATGATAAGCACAATAAAATGTAATTACCATAAAATATTAAAACTAAATTCTCCTGATAAACTTTTAATCAACCAGGCTCCATCTAGTGGCTAGCACTAGTCAGTACAGGCAGAACCATCTGTACTGCACATCTTCTGTCACTGGATGGAGCCAGGATTTCATTCTAAGTCATTCAGTTCAGGAGCCAGCAGAGAAAGACACCCTGAAGATAAAATTAAGAACTTTAAGGGGACATTGGGTAAGAAAGACTGATGGCAGGAGCAGGATCCAGAGGATGACCAGGAGACTGAGTTCTGGGAGCGAAAGCATGGAATTGACTAAATTAAAACTCTCAACCCGAAACAAAAAAGGTTGTCAGTGTTTTATTAACAACAGTGAAGTGAAGTATTAAGAAAAGCAATTTTTTCGAGGGGCTTACTGTACTTACCAGAGGACTACGTTGTATACTGGCCAAGTACTGCAGCAAGCCCTTGGTATGGTAAATTGTCGGGTGCAGTTCAGGATTTGGGGTTAACCACTGCCGATTAAGATCTTCGCCACTTAAAGAGCAGCGGTGACTACAAAGCAGAATACACAGAAAAATGAATTAATTAGGAAGACTTTCAAGCTAACTCTGTTCACAGAAAGAAACATTCCAATTTTAACCTTATACATCCAGTTAATATTCCAAAGACAGACTAAAATGAAACACCTATTCAGTTTTACATGCTACTTTCCCTGTTCATGACCAAATGTCTCCTTTCACCTGAGATTTTTCTGTTTCTTAAAACTCAAGAATCTTCTCACTCAATGCCACATCATCTCTGGAACTCCACATTCACTGTAACTTTGATGCCTTTATTGCTAATTGTATTAATTAAAGTTAAGACCATACATGTCGTGGGCTGGGCCGTCTTGTGGCACAGTGATAGTATGCCCACCCCTGGACTGAGAGGCCGAGGTTCAAGTCCCACCTGCTCCAGAGGTGTGCAATAATGTCGCCAGGGACCCGGGTTTGATTCAAGCTTTGGGTGACTGTGTGTGTAGTTTGCACATTTTCCCCATGTCTGCATGGGTTTCCGCCAGGTGCTCTGGTTTCCTCCCACAATCCAAAGATGTGCAGATTAGGTTGACTGGCCAAATTGCCCGTAGTGTCCAGGGATGAGCAGGCTAGGTGGATTAGCCATGGGAAAAGCAGGGTTACATGGATGGGTTGGGAGCTCGCATTTGCTCTTGGGTGAACAGTCAGTGAAAACCTGATAGGTTGAATGGGCTCTTTCTGCACTGTAGGGATTCTATGAAAACATATCTACTGTACAAAATTATGAGGGCAACATGATCTCTTGGCAATATGATACATTTAGTCAGCTAAGGTCAGACTGGAATTTCCCAGATTTTATTCCTTTCAAATTGGCCTGCATTTTCATTTGTGCTTTTTTTTTGCCTCTGCCATGAGATAAAATGGTTTCGGGTTGGGTGTTAGTATATACATTGCAATCCAAAATGTATAGCCTATTCATCGCTGTTCACGAATGTACATGTACATTTGTACAATTTTGGGTTTATAAAATGGAAGGAGGCCAGAAAAGTAGCACAAAGAGTGCTTTAACAATTAGAAAATATAACATATACGACAACTTGTTTCAGTCAAGTGAATAAACCATATTTATCCACCAACTTAAAACTGTTAATTCAAATATGTGAGCATATACAGTGAGGTTCAGTAGTGAAGGTTTGAGTCAATAGCAGCAGTTACAGCACAGATGCTCTCTTTCCTATGTTTGTTCATTCTAGAGAATGTTGCAAAATCATTTATGATTAGTAACTGAAAAGTAACTATCAATTCTGATGTGTATTTGTATAAACATAATATAAGACAGTTTAAAATTGGCTCACCTTCCGTTAATTACTCCGTCTGGGTTCAGCATGGGGACAATTTTGAAAATATAAGAATCCCGCAAATTTTGAGCTGCCAAGCTGTTGCTCATTAAAAATTCCAGAGTTCCCTTCATCACCCAACTGGAATTACTTTCCCCAGGATGGACACGAGATGTTAAGAAAATGTACGGTCGATTTCCTGCAGAAATTATATTTGTAGGAGTTACTTACAGCTTGACATAGTGGGAATCGTATAAGGATAATAATGACAAAAAAAGAGTAAGACGGGTTATTGTAATTAGCTGCAATAACCTAGGTTATTTAGTGAAATTTAACCAAAGTCTCGGCCCCAACTGCCAGCCTATCGTCTCCATTAAAATTGCAAAAATGTATAACACGGAAGAAAGGGGTGGCACACATTCTCCCTGTGTCTGCATGGGTTTCCTCCGGGTGCTCCGATTTCCTCCCACAGTCCAAAGAGGTGCAAGTTGGGTGGATTGGCCATGCTAAATTGCCCATAGTGTCCAGGGAAGTATAGGTTAAGTGTGTTAGCCATGGGAAATGCAGGGTTACAGGGATAAGGTAGGGGGATGGGCCGAGGTGGGATGCTCTTCAGAGGGTCCTTGAGGACTTGTTGGGCCAAATGGCCTGTTTTCACATGGTCAGGATTCTGTGGAAAGCCATTTGTTCCATTGTGTCTGTGTTAGCTGCGAAAAATCTGTACAACCAAACCGCATTTTTCAGCTCTTTACTTGTAGTTTCATCAGCTACAGATTCTCAAATGCAGATATTTTAAAAATTCATTCATGGGATGCTGGTTAGGCCAGCATTTTTATTGCCCTGGGAAAGATGGTGGTGAGCTGCAGTCTTGAACCTCTGTAGTCCTTGGGTACAGGGAGAACTCCCACAGTGTTATTTGGAAGGGAGTTTGAGGATTTTGAAGCAGTGACAGTGAAGGAATGGTCTTATGTTTCCAAGTCAGAATGGTGTGTGGCTTGGAGGTAGATGTGCAGATGGTGGTGATCCCATGCATCTGCTGCCCTTCTCTTTCCAGATGGCAGATGTTGCAGGTTTAGATGGTGCTGTCAAAGTAGGTTTAGTTAGTTAATGGAGTGCATCTTGTAGATAGTATACACTGCTGCCACTGTGCATTAGTCGTGAAGGGAATGAATGTTGAAAGTGGTGGATGGGGTGCTAATCAAATCGCTGCTTTGTCCTGTACGGTGTTCAAGGTTCATGAGTGCTGTTGAAACCATACCCATCCAAGCACTTTTGATTTCTGCCTTGTAGATGATGAATAGGAGTTAGGAGGACAGGAGATGAGTTACATGCTGGAATTCCTAGCCTTTGGACTATTGTTGTATCCACAGTATTTATATGGCTGGTCCAATTTATAAACATAACATAATCTTATTACACATAACCCCAGGATGTTGATAGTGGGGGATACAGCAATGATAATGCCATTGAATGTCAAGGGAAAATCATTAGATTCTCTATTGCTATCCATGTCTTGCTGCATAACGATATGGATTGCTTCAATATCTGAGATATCGCAAATCGTACTAAATTAAGTACTTTTTAAATGTGATTAAGTTTACTAGCTCTACCACCCTTTCAGCTGTTAAGTTCCAGACACTTCACCACACCTTTGAAATATTATACAAAACTAATCTTCATCTATTTGTTTTTATTCTTTCATGGGATGTTTAAATTGCTGGCAGGACCTTCATTTGTTACGTATGCCTGATTGTTTGAGAAGATAGTGGTGAGCTACCCTCTTGAACACCTGCAGTCCATGACATGTAGGTACATCCACAGTGCTACCAATTACTTTAGCCCGATTATTAAACTCTTTGCAAAGAGAAATCAGTCCTTCCTATCACACACAGCCCTGACATTTTCTATATACATCAATTAAACCTCTCCTCAGATGTCTTCTGTTCCTAAAGGAAACAAGCCAATCTATACAATATTGCCTCGTAGCTAGGATTGAAAATCAAGAGGGAACAGGGAGGGATGAACTTAACATAACTGCTATCGTTACGGTGCTCAAAGTACTCAGGACTGGATGATTTGCATCCTTGGGTCTCAAAAGAATTGCATGCATGCACAGGCATTAAATGCATCATTAGGTTCTGGAAGAATTCCAATAAATTGGAAAATAAGAATTGTAACACCTTTATTCAAGAAAGGAGGAAGGCACAAAGCAGGATATCTGACCAACAGTTTCCTAACATCTGTCATTCGAAAGGTGGTAGAATCCATTATTAAAGAAATTGTAGCAGGATACTTAGAAGATCACAATGAGAGCAGGCAAAGCCATTGTGACTTTGTGAAAGGAAAATGATATCTATTAAACGAGTTTGGCAAAATAATATGACACTGGATAGAGTAGAAACTGTTTGATGCCATGTGCTTGGATTTGCAAAAGACATTTGATACAGGTACCACATTGAAGAGTGCTACAAAAGATAAGAGCAGTGTGTAAGGACTGATATATTTAAATAGATACAGGATTGGTTAGCCAATAGGAAGCAGAAAGTTGGGATAATAGATCTTTTCAGGTTTGCAAGCAGGAGTAACATAGGGATCAATCAGTGCTGGGACCTCAACTATTCACAATCTATATCAATGACTTGGATGAGGCTACTGAACATATGGGTAATTACAACTGCCAAAGGCAACAAGATATGTCATATACTAAGTCATCAAGTGGAGGTAGAGTTTAAGTAGGTGGTCAAAAAAATTGGCACAGTATAACCTGGGGTAAATGTAAACTTCTCCATTTTGGCAGAAAGAATACAACAGCAACATACTGTTTAAATAGAGACAGACTGCAGGTGCTACGGATGGTCCTGGGACATAAATCATAAATTTGGCATACAGGTACAGTAACCGATTCAGAGGCCAATGTTGTTTATTGTAAGAGAATGGAGTATAAAAGTCATGAATTTTTGCTATAGTTCTACAAACATTGGTAGACCACATTGGGATACTAAACACAGATTTGAAAAAAAAATCTAATTGCATTAGAGTACATTGTACAGTGGTAATATCACTACCTCTAAGCCAGGAGGGTTAGATTCAAGTCCCACCTGTTCCAGGGGTATGTAATGTCATGTATGAATAGGTTGATTCGAGAAAATAAAGATGGTTCACTTGATTTATTCCAGGGATAAACAGCTAATCATACAAAGAAAGATTGAACAGATGAAGCCTATGATTTTGTGGTGGGAAAGTCATTCAGTTGTGTGTGACAGCACTTCTGCATATAAAAAAGAGAGAGCGAGAGGTTTGGCTCTTGTGGCACAGTGGTAGTGTCTATGCCTTGAGTCAGGTTATGTCATAACATCTCTGGGCAGGTTAATTACAAAAATAAAGAAGAGTGAGAGGTGAGTTTCTTGAAAATATGGAAGATCTGGAGGATAGCAACAGGATGGCTCTTCTCATGGGAGAGCCTAATCTAGGATGCATGGGTACAGAATAAGAGAGCTCCCTTTTAAGACAGTGTTGAGAAGAATTTGTATCTCTCAAAGGATCATTAGAACGTGGAATTCTCTTTCTCACAGGTTGTGGAGGCTAGGTCTTTAAATTTATTCAAAGCTGAGCTAGATGGATTTCTAATAAACAAGGGAATCAAAGGTGATGGGATGCAGACAGGAAACTGGAGCTGAGACCATAACCATATTAATCATTGTCTTATAGAACAGGCTCCAATGACCAAATGGCCTATTCCTGTTCCTACGTTCTATGTTTCTATGTTCTCCAGTCCTGGCAACATTCTTGCCAATATTCTCATCACCCTGTCTAGTACAATCACATCCTTCTTGTAATGAGGGTGATCAGAAGTGTGCACACTACTGTAGCTGAGGCCTAACCTAACTTTATATAGTTCAAGTGTAAGGTTCTGTTCTTATGTTATGTCTGAGCTCTTAAGGGAAGCATTGGACATGCCTTCTTAAATTCCTTATCTACCTGTGCTTCTATTTTCAGCTACCTGTGGATATTGCACCTCAACATTCTTCTGTTCCTCTACACTTCTCAATATCCTACAATTTACTATATATTCCTTTGTCTCATTTGTGCTACTCAAATGAACTCCCTTGCACTTTTCAGAATGAATTCCATTTACCATTTCTATGGTAACCTCACAAGTCGCAAGGATACCTTCCTACAGTCCAGATCTTTTCCACATAAACACATAACCAATTTGCATATCTTCAGAAAACTTAACAATGCCTGCCCTCAGAACCGTACTAGAAATAGCTCTGCATTCAGTAAACATTTGTTGACCAGTTGCTTCCTGTCACTAAGCCAATTTTGGATCAAATCTGCCATTATCCTTCGGACCCTATGGGTTTTTAACTTTATGAAAAGTTCAGCTAAATGGGACCACTTCAGACATCTTACAAACTACACCATCAACTGTGCCTCCTTCGAACCTCCTTAGAAAATTCAACTAAATTAGTCAGCTATGATCGTGACATCCTTAATTAACTAATACTTTCTAAATGACAATTAATAGGCTAGCCTGGCTGGTCTGTAATTGTAGTACGCACTCTGTATCTTTTTTCAAACAACTGCATGTAACAGTCCTCTGCACTTTTGACACCATGCATTTAGCCAGAGGTTTTTGGAAGATGATGGGCCATTCTTTCATTTCTCTTCATGTTTTGGGATGTATTTAATCCAGGCATAGAAAATTATCCACTTTTAAAAATGACCAACCACTTCATTTTCCCTGATGTTCATCCATCCCATCCAAATTTTAGCACTCTTCTTTAATTAAGACATCAGTATTGTTCTGTTCTTTTGTGAAGATGGAAACAATGCATTTGTTAAGTACCACACCCACATTTTCTGCTTCCACAGAAATTACTGTTTTAGGAAGTAATGAAAACACTCCGCAAAGGCTTTTTACATAACCTCCATTTAGTTAATTTGATGTGTTGGCTATGGTTGTTAAGGCAAATACTTGTTTTTTTTCACATTTACTAGCTTTTCTTCTACCGTTTAACCAAGCTTTTAGAACAAGTAGAAAACAAAATTCAAATATTACATATTCAGAAATTGCTCCTCCCCTTCTCTACATGTATGTTCAGCACTAAACAGACGTAGATTTTCCATGGATACAAAATTAGTTTCATATTTATAAACAAAGATATGTAGATAGACAATGTGAGGGCAAGGGTCCAGTTCTCATGCTCCAATGCATGGTGATTGAAGAGAGACAAAAATGTTCAAAAAGGCAATAAAGATAATGTGGGACATTAGAATTGGAAACTATTCATCTTCATACTTGGTTTAAATTTAAAACCAATAACTCATGTTAAGGCTGATAACTAAAGGCTGATTTTGTCGATGAAGCACGACTCAGTGTGGAACCCAGGCCAGTAAATTCTACGGATCCATTCCTGACCTATGCCAAGTTTGATAATTTCTTGAGAGCCTGTAGGGCACTTCCAACTGGCCTTCATCACTCTAAATTGACAAAAGAAAACATTGGCCTGGAATTTGTGGTTGCAATGACATCAAAAATAGCAATTCTTATCACCACTACAATGTAAAACTGAAAAGTGACATCCACACAATCTATTACAAATAGAAATCTTGAACTTGCTGTAATAGGAACTATACAAGTTTGCAGATGGAATCATCAGACATCATAGCTGTGTCAACTATTTAGAAACTATTCTTACTGGAAACACCAATGTCAACACTGAGCCTAGTTCAATCAAAAGTAATTGAAATTATTGTTAAGCAACTTCTCAGTCCCTGAAAAGCTAATTTTGCAATAATAGAATCACTTTCCCCCAGAACAGCATTACAAAATTTCAGATTTTCAATAATATTTTTGTTCAAAACTTCACGTTTCTGTTTTAATTCTATTTGTATGTCAACATCTTTATTCCACTTTGTGTACAAGGATTTAAATGGGATCTATATTTCCTGCTTTTTATATTTTCTTTGCCATCTATGAGAATTCATCCATACAACTGATTAGAACAGGCTGAATATTGATGGCAGCCAAAGATTCTCCTGAAGAAACTGCCAAATTATACAAATAGTGATAAACAGAAAATCTATACCTGTAAATTGCTAAGTCTGTGAAGGTAGCACTTACAAGGTCTACCTTCATCACTGACTGCAAAATCCAGGCCAACGGACAGACTTTCCATAACTGAATACTATGCAACCATCAGTCCTAAAATGTGTGGGTACAAAGTGAGGATTGGGATTCAGCTACAGTATTCTTTTATGAACAAACATGACACCAATTACTGTCTACTAGCACAAGAATTTTTTCTTGACTGAAGAGTTGAAGAGTGCCTCGCGGTTGTATTTTACATTTATTTGGACGACGAAGAGGAAATACAAAGTTTACACTGTTGAAAAATGCAGCTATGTGGAAAGAATAGTGAACATACTAGTCCATATATTGTTTTTAAAACAATTATTAAACAGTAATTTGAGGTCAGACTCTCAATGCATTCATGGCATCAATAATTAAACTACAGTGCTAAGCTCAGATGAATACGTCAAGGTACTTACTAAACTGGTATAGACTTTCCCAGGACTTGGACTCTGGCATGGAAGTAATGGTCAGTACAGGGCAAGGGTTACCTCCTAAAGTTTCACAGATCGAATCTTGCCGAAAATAAATCTGCTGAGGGTCATGCAGTGTCTCCAGTTTTTGGATGTGCATCTTTATTAAAAAAAAAGTAAATAAAATGTTTACAATTCTATTATTCCTGGGCATTATATTTACAACCTGAATTTTACCTTCATATTGTTGTCTTTATGTTGATCAAGATTGGAAATTGAGGTCTGTGAATACATTTGGAGCTTACAAATTGATCATTCTTTAACAAAAAGAACCTGAACAATTTCAGAAGGAGCTATGTGTATGGTAATACATAACTTGAATATCTTGATCTAAAAAACTATTCTTTGCCTTATGTTGAAAGACCAACTGTAAAAACTACTACTCATTAAAAAGAAAGATGAACTTGCATTTGTATTGTGCCTTTCATGCCCACAGTTCATTTCAAAGTGCTTTACAGCCAAGCAGTACTTTTAAAGCATATCTATGAACGTAAAGCAGAAAATGTCAAATCTGCAGGCTATAAAAGCCCATTAAAGGTGAAGTTTATATACCAGATTCTACAGCAAATTACTGCAAGTTCAATATCAGTAGTATACCCTATGTTTAAGTAGTATTGTATTTCTTATCCTTTATCTGAGGAGTCTTTGACCTCTATCTAACAGCCTATTGATAACTCTTATGATCTAATACTATGTACATGCAGGCTGCCTCATAAAAGAGAATTTGCACACGCTAACACGAGCCTATTACTAACGTGCTGAAGCATGGAGTACAAAGATTGGGAATTATCTTCCACATCACAGAATATTCCTGATCAACAATGTCTACATGGAATGCAAACCAGAGTCCTTGGAGATCTTTAATCCCTTACAGGGCACCAGTCAATCTACTGGATTTGAAATTTACAAACCTAGTGTTCTTTAAAAAAGATTCAATGTGGTGACAGCAATTGGTTCAGTTCTTTACTAATTGAGGGAAAATACTGTAAATTTGCTACATATTTTCTCTGGTCTACTGTCTTCATAGAGGTCTGCTTGTGTCTCTCAGTCTGTTGAGCTTATAACCTTTAGGTGCATTGACTCCAGATGGAAAACTTTTAAACAGAGACACACGATCAGTATGGATCATGATCTAGCAATCAGCTATCTATCAAGGATTGTGTTTTTCTTTTTAATTACGATTAGAGACAAATAAGTAAAAGACAAAACTTCAAATAATTAAAATGAGAATATTTGTGAATATCATTTAATTCTAATAAACGTTCAACTGATTTACCCAAAAAATATATACTTGGATGAGATCATATCAGTAATGAATTAATATTGCAAGCTGAATTAAACAATTGTACTACTGAACAAGCATAGTTATCTGGACAATATACTGTTTTCGTAAGATTATTAGCTAAATGAAGCTGAAATGAAGTAAAAGCTTTTCTTGAGTGAACTATTCATTTTGATTGTCAAGATTTAAAAATAGATTTAAGTAATGATACTAGCAATAAAATAGGAATTATAATTTGCATTATTTATACAATTTGGCTATAAAAATCTCGCCTCACCAAGGCATAAGATATATGCAATGCTGTATCTGTAGTCATTTGCTATGTTATTTTATTCTACCTCCTTTCAATAAGTTAAAAATCAAATTACGACTCCATTAGTCAATTATTTGACAAAACCCAAAAGGCATCGGACTTTTAAAAAATATAAAAGCTAAAGTTCTCAATTATACAAGATCTTTCAACAAAATGCAATTCAAAACACAAGTTCTATGATGAAGCCATCAGATTAACATATATTCAGTATGAACATCTATCTGCAACTAAAACAACTTTTGATATTTCTAAGAGATTTCAGGATATAGCTTCTTAAGTAGAAATGAATGTAAATAATGAAGATCTCTGAGTTTAAGCAACCAAATACAGCATAATAGGCAACTAATTGCTATGTTACACATTTCAACTAATCAATAATTTTATCATTCTGTACATTATACTGTGAATATTACCTGCAAGGTAGAGTATGTATATGGATAGTGGTAAGCAAAATAGCACACATCATCTTTATGGGTAAAGTTCATCGTAAATGTCAGCGTGTAATAAGATTTTCCTTTTAGACCCCCAGCTGCTATTGAACTTCTGGAAAAATGATTCCTACAAGGAAAGGCATAATTGTGTTAAAATCTTTTTTTTTAAACTGAACACAATTGGCAATTTAAGTTGCTCATTTCAAATTGCCAGTTGCAGAAACATCACTGAACACTGTTACTAATGAAACTGTATGTCTTATTATTTTAACACAGCTATTACAACCAATGCACATTGAATAAGAATCATACAGCCATGTCAAATGGAAAGCAGACTCCCTATGCTGGAAATCTAAATTAAAAAATGGAAAATACTGGGTATATTCAGTCAGTTGAGCAACATCTGTGGAGGGAGAAATAGAGTTAAAAATTCATCTCATGAAAAGTCATTGATCTGAAAAGTAAACATAATTAAGAGACCAATGTTAATATTATATGAAAGGAAAGTGCTGAATTGTTGGCAAGTAGATTCTGATTGGTTGAGGCACTGCCAGAGAGAATGCATCAGTTCATGATGACTAAAATTAACTTCCAAGCCAAGTTGACTGAGTTGGCAAAGCATTGCCCTGTGAAATGAATCCGTGAATAGCTGTCATGTATTTTGAATTGAAATAGGCACTGTGTATGCAAATGTTCTTTTTATCCGCAAAGAACATGAACATGTATGATAACATATGTAGCTTCCAGCACACGCATGTGTACCTCATTACAAACCCAACTGACAATCCCAAATTGATTGGCAACATAATTATTTACATACTTTGGATTATTTAGCAGATGTTCTCTAAACATGGAATCACATCCAACGTTGGGCACTATGTGAGTTTTGCAAACACAAGCCTTGCTTGTTAGGTACAGCTATCACTTTTGATCCTGAAAAGTGTGCAATCCATTTCAAGTACGTAACGTAATTAATTACATAACATAAAGTGTAACGCATCTCTCAGCGTTGAGCAACAGGTGAACCCAGCGGTTCTACTCTGCAACTGTGCAATGCCAACAAGTGCGTTCACCACTAAAAAGATGCCTACCACACCAAATGAATAACGCAGTAGAGTCTGATGCTGGTTATGTAGGTAATATGTCCAAAAAAACTGTTAAATAATTTCAAAAAAGCATATATCTTCAGCTATTCATAAGTCATTGCTGGTACCCAGCCACCCCATGCTCACAGCACACGCTTTTGGATAGTACTGTCAAAGGAGCTTTGGTGAGTCACTACAGTGTATTTTACAAATGGAACACACTGGTGCCACTTCACATCAGTGAGTGTTTGTGAATAAGGTAGTGGAAAATCAAAAAGGTTAGATTGAAAAGCTCAACACCATTTAGGACAAAGTTGTTGGAGCTGCACTGAACCAGGCAAATGGAGAATATTCCAACTCACTCCTGACCTGTGCCTTGTAGACAATGACGTGAAGGTGCCAGTGTTGGACTTGGGTGGACAAAGTCAGAAGTCACACGACACCAGGTTATATTAACAGATGAAGGGGCTGCACGCTGAAAGCTTTTGATTTCAAATAAATCTGTTGGACTATAACCTGGTGTCATGTGATTTCTGACTTTGTAGACAATGGACAGCTGCGTTAAGAGGTATGTTACGTGTCACAAAATTCCTGGGCTTTGATCTGCTCTTGCAGCCACAGTATATGGCTGGTCCATTTCAGTTTCTGGTCAATGTAATCCCCAGGGATATTGATAGTGGGAGATGGTCAGTGATGTTCATGTCATTGATTGTTATCCAGGTCTTGCTGCAAATGGACGTAGACTGCTTCAGTAACCTCTGCAAGGATCTGTGCATGCCAACACTGTTCACCAGCATTGATTCCAGGTTCAGAGGTTTTGTCACGCACAGACCTCAGAAGTCTGTGCAGAAGAAAATAAAATTGGACTGTTATGCTTGATCTCCAACAACCACAACCATCCTTTTCTTTGCTATGTCTGACTCCAACCAGTGCAGGATATTGCCCTTACCCCACCAACTCCATTTTTGCTTCGGATCCTTGCTGTCACATTCAACCACTGCCTTGAAGTCAAAGGCTGTCACTCTCACCTCACATCTGAAGTTCAGTTCTTTTGTCGGTGTTTAGACCAAGCTGTAATGAGGTCTGAAACTAAGTGGTCCTGCCTGGCAGAACTCAAACTGAGCATCAAGGAGCAGGTTATTGCTGAGCAAATGCTACTTGATAGCACTGTTGACAATTCCTTCTATCATTTCGTGATGAAAGGTTAGAGCTATCTCTGCTTCAATGTCTTAGATCTAATTGGTTGGAGTTAATAAACATGTAGAGGTACTGGTTCACAACTGTACTTTATTCTTGATCATAAGCTAGTGAAAAAGACAGGAATAACTATAAAATGAGATGCAAAATCCTATAATATGGGGCTTTAGTTATTCTAACATGGATTAGGACAGTGATAACATAAAGGACAGAGGGGGTCAAATTCTTAAAAGGATCATAACAAGTTGAGAAACTGAGTAGGAAGCCATATGGGATCCTGGGCTTTATAAATAAAGGCAGAGAGTACAACGCAAGGAAGTTATGATGAACGGTTAGGAAACACTTTTTTGGCCTCAACTAGAGTATTGTGTCAAATTCCATTTCCAAGGGAAAGGTTAATTTCCTTTGCAGGAACTTAAATCTCACTTAACAGATATTTGCACTGTTGAGTACTTGCCCTAAATTCATGTGACATCTTAGGGGACACTTGATATGGTAATGGAGCAACTTCACAAAACAGAAAATTGAGGGTGAACTGTTCAACAACAACAAATGTTTTCTGTAGTCATTTTACGAAGTCGTTTGTAAAAGCAAAACAAACAGTTCACACCAGAACACCATAACTTTAATCAAAGGTAAATCAAATAGAGAGAACGGCTATTTCAGGTGAAAGGTTGAAAACGTAGAAATGTTAATTCGTTTCCTGTTGCTTGATCTGGAATGTTTCTAATATTTTCTCATAACACTAGGTTATAGTCCAACAGGTTTATTTGAAGTTACAAGCTTTCGGAGTCTCACTCCATCTTCAGGTGTCAGTGAGAGAGGTGGCATCGGACACAAGATTTAAAAGCACAAGATCAAAGGGTCATAGAACTGATATGGTGTTGAACAAACCTAAGATGGCTACTAAATCTTTAATTAGTTAGAAAGGATTAACCTCTCTCTGTCTCTCTCTCTCTCACACACACACACACAACGCACACAACGCACACACTCTCTCTCTCTCTCCCCCTGACACACATACAAACACATGCACACATACTTATAAATCTGTGGGGTGAATTTGCATTTGCAGATACATTCTATTTTGTTCAAAAAGCACACAATTTGTAGACAGTCAATGTGGCATTTTATAAATTCCTACTTTGGAAATAAAACCAGTCTGACTCCAAGTTGATACACAGCCAGATTCTAAACAAGGCCTCACACTTAAAATACATTGTGCGACCTGGGATATCACCTCTGGTATACTTAGGGAACTGATAAAACTTACATTATCTCGGGGCAGTGACTTGAAAGAAATTTGTAAATTTGCATATTAATCCTTTCTAACTGAATAAGATTTAATAGCCATCTAAGGTTTGTTCAACACCACATCAGTTCCACGACTCTTTGATCTTTTGCTTATAAACTCTGTGTCCGATGCCACCTCTCTCACTGACACCTGAAGGAGTAAGACTCTGAAAGCTGGTGTCTTCGATTAAACATGTTGGACTATAACCTGGTGTTATGTAGTTTTTGACCTTGTCCACCCCAGTCCAACACCAGCATCTCCACATCATAGCTAATATTTTGATTGTTTTATTTTAGATCCTCCTGAACGTCAGAATTAAAGTAACTTTCATTGTTGCAAATTTACCAACTGGAATATAAGCGCACATCTTAAAGAATAAAAAGTAGCTGTGTAAGTTAACAGTCATTGTCAGCAATCAATGAAACATCAGAGGGCAGTTAATAGCTGCCTGCAAGTGTTTTTGCAATTTACTGAAATCAATGAAGAGTCAAAAGCAAAAAGAGTGACCTTTTGAGGGCCCTCTTGTGGTGCAGTGGCAGTGTCCATGTCCCTGAACCAAGAGTCCCGAGTTCAAGTCCCACCTGCTCCAAGGGTGTAAAATAACATCTCTGAACAGGTTGTTTACAAAAATAGGTTAAATTTTTAAAAAAAAGAGTGGCCTCAGGACCCTCTTGTGGCACAGTGGTAGAGTCCCTATCTCTGGTTCAGGAGGCCCAGGTTCAGGTCCCATTTGCTCCAGTGATGTATAATAACATCTCTGAACAGGTTGAATAGAAAAATAGTTCAATAATAAAAAAAAAATTTAAAAAGTGAACTTATGAAGGTACTCCTGTGGTACAGTAGTAGTGTCCCTAACCCTGAGGCCTGGGTACAAGTCCCACTTGCTGCAGAGGTATGTAATAATTTCTCTAAACAGGTTGATTATAAAAATAAAAATAAAAAGGATAAATAAAAATAAAATAAAAAAGAGCTCGAACAGTTCATCCACTTCACCAACACCTTCCACCCCAATCTTAAGTTCACCTGGACCATCTCTGAAACCTCTCTCTCCTTCCTGGATCTCTCTGTCTCCATCTCTGGCAACCACCTGGAAACCGATATCCATTTCAAGCCTACCGACTCCCACAGCTACCTTGAATACACCTCCTCTCACCCACGTTCCTGCAAAAATGCCATCCCCTATTCCCAATTCCTTTGCCTCCACCGCATCTGCTCCCAAGATGAGGCATTCCATTCCCGGACATCCCAGATGTCCTCGTTTTTCAAGGACCGTAACTTCCCCTCCACAGTGGTCGAAAACACCCTCGACCGCATCTCTCGCGTTTCCCGCAACTCATCCCTCACACCCCCTCCCCGCAATAACAGCCAAAACAGAATCCCCCTTGTCCTCACGTACCACCCCACCAACCTCCGAATCCAACGCATCATCTTCCAGCACTTCCACCACCTGCAATCTGACCCCAGTACCAAAGACATTTTTCCCTCCCCACCCTTATCTGCCTTCCAGCGGGACCACTCTCTCCGTGACTTCCTTGTCCGCTCCACACTCCC